CTAAGTCAGTCAAATATAAGTTAGTAATTGGCTTAATTATATCAATCATTATCAAAATCAATACAATAATAATAAAGTAATAAATATATCTTATAGACTGCCTCCTCGTTTCTTATAAATTATTAAAAAAGAAGAATTAAAAAATTCTCAAGATTCAATAAAAGTTTTCTGTAATTTAAAAAAAAAAAATCATTGAAATAAAATTATTTATAATAATGAATAAATATAGGTACCTTCAAAAACTTGTTAAAATGGGTATACCATGATGAAAAAAAACCCAAACTTGATAAAAACAAAGTTTTTTTTTTTGGGTGGGGGGTTAACAAAAGGTCAAAATATTTATTATGAGGAAAGACCATAGTATTTTTTGATTATTTTATTAAATTTTTTAATACTTTCTAGCACATTCAAAATTTTGGTCAAAAATCTTTTCTTGTGTCAGCAGGTGGGCCAAAGATTATAAAGAATTTTAGGGTCATTTTTATGTTAAAAACATTGTTTTGAAAATTCTTGCAAAAATCAAATAATTTTTGGATTTTACTCAAATTTTCAGGACTTATTCACAAGTGAATGAAATTATTTTTTAAATATTTTTTTAAGAAAATCTTTGTATAATTTTTTTCTTTTTACATCTGTTATCCTCATTTACTTAATTTTATGAAATTTTGAGAAATTAAAATTTCAGCCTCTTCATATTTATGTTAGTTAAAAGCAGAACTCCTTAGTGAATTTAAATATGTTTTTACCAAAAAGAAACAACATTTACTGAAAATCTTCTCTGAATCATAAAATAGAAAATGCAATAAAACTATGACATTAGAAAAGCTTTTAATTTCTTTTATAAATAAGATATATTAAGGACACTATTGTCTTAAGAAAATTTTTTTTTGATAAATAATGAATTTTTACAAAAATTGTTTTCATTTTTTTAAAAATTTTACTAAGTTTTAAATCTTTTAAAATTCTGTATTAATTTCAGATGATATTATTATTAAGTGAATATTTACTAATCATAAATGGAAAAGCTTAATACAAATCACTAAACACCAATATTTTTGAAAGAATTTTGAATTTTTTTTTGTATGTGTGTCTAAACATGCCAATTTTTGTAATTATGGGCAACCATACATGACATTATCTGAAAGTGATAACTATAGTAAATTTAGTCAACATTTGTAAAATTCAATAAAAGATTAGATTATAGAGAATATTTTTAACATTACTGAGTACTTAAAAATTATATAGAAATGGCACTTGTATCATTTTCCTCAATTATGTTTTACAGATAAAGTATTCATAGAACAACATTAGACCTGTCATCAGGCTGTCAACATGTCAAAACAGCTACTATCAGGTTTAAAAAATGTATATCGGCAATATTTTAATCTTAAAGCAAACTAATATTGGTTTCAAAGCATATTAATTATACTTTAAATCAGCTAATATTCCTCAAATTTACTAATATGTTGCTTTTTATTTGTTTTGTATTAGCTTTCTGGAAATACTTTTACTTTAAATAATTTAAAAAGCATAATTATTTCTTATATTGAAAAATACAGGGTTAATTTATTGGTAGAAATTCTAGATTATTCATGCAGTTTTATTATAAATCAATGCAAATGCAAAATTATATAGATAATGGAGTTATTTTTAGATGGTATATATACTTAGAATAATTAATGAATAAATTTATAACAACCAAGTGATATTTGATGACATTCTCTTAAAGTGCTAGTGAAAGTAGGAAGGATTGGAAAGTTTCTAATCAACTGAGATTCCCTGGTCTTAAAAAAAAAAGAATCAATATTTGAAATACTGAGCTTGAACACCAATCATTAGTACCAGTGAAAAATGCACAACTACTCCATCCTACAAACAAATCTTATCTTCCAAGATATTTTAATGCTTGTAGTAATTGATTCTCCCAAAGAATCACTGTCTCAACACTTCTAAAATCCACTGCATCCTCACATCTCAATGACAAGGTAAAAAGTGACATTGATCATTCAAAGTAGCAAAAAATGCTAGCCATCAAAAACGAATCCAATATCAGGGATGCTTAGTTCCATTTATTATACTCCTCCCTGATATCTAAATCACATATGTGGCAGGATTCAGCAAATCTCCTTATTCACGTACCTCTTCGAAGCTGGGGTTGTGCATTCTTCATTTCATTTTCAGGGGCATTGTGCTCATCCAGTTCTTTGAGGACTCTTCCTCCTCATTGCTGGAGGCAAAGACTGTTTTGTGCAACAAATATGATTTCTCCACTCTCAAATGCCTCATCCCCGCTACTTGATGATATATTTGAACCAAAATAGGGACGGAGATCCTTAACATGTCATGGGATGTCATCAACCAGGACAGACTGTGGACTAATGATTCCAATGACATGTCCTATACCAAAAGTTGTGTAACTGCTCTGTGAGGGTTTCATGTACACACAATCTCTCACTTTGTACTTTATGCGGCCTTTCTCGGGCTATGGAGGCACTGCATCTATTCCTTTAAGGTGAACTTTGTATGTGTAAATCCCATTGGCAGGTGTGGTGAGTGGCGACGTGTCATTCTTAGGGGTGACGTTATACCAAACATGGCTTCCACAATGGAACAACTTTTTCTGGCCACAATTCTCTTCACACTTTTATGACACTGCTCTGCTATTCCGTTGCCTTCTGGGACATGAGCATATCTAAATCTTAGGCGTGCCCCCACCTCCATGAAAGCACAAAATTCTCTACTACAGAATGCAGTGGCATTATCCATGAGTATTTTTGCTTTCATAAAAAACGGACTCCAACTTATGGATGATGCCGAACAAATCTTGTTAAGCTAACAGTTGCCATTTGGTGAATCTCATTGGACCACAATCTATTAACGTCAAATAGTGACAATTACCATAGTGGGTTACATCCATACTCGTCCATTAACAGCTCCCTTCCACTTCCAACTTGCTTCTTTGCCAGTAGGTCTTGCTGGGTCCACTGTTCTGCATTCCATGCAAGACCTAAATGCAGACCTCACCTCACTCTTGGGTGTAAAAGGGATCATTGTGTACAAAATGCATGGTAGGCCAAATCCCAGAGTGTCTGGGTGAATGATTTGACTGGGGCTCAACAGGTCTAATTAACTGATTCAATTCCTGCCTTAGCCATCTGAACCATGTCTGTGTCACTCTCGTCATCCTGTTTGCCATTTTTTGATTTGACCTAACCAACTCTACATTAACGGACAATTCATACTCCCAAACTAGATCTTTGAATGTGCTCAGTCTCCGTTGAAGCATCTCAGTTGACGCTTTTGTGCATAGTTGTGCTTTACCAGTCATTGTCTTAGAGAGCCAGTGGTATACACATAAAAAGTCTGTCTTCATATGCAACTTTTTGGCTTGCCACTGGAGTGCAAGGCTGAGGGCTTTCAATGCTGCATCCAGCTTAGATTTATACACTGGGCATCATTTGTTGGTCAAAACCAACATGCATCTTCCAAAATGGCCTCATTCTCCTCCAGGAAAACGTCTGTTGCCATGCAACTTGCATCAATCCAGACATTCATGCCTTGCTCCTCTATGCACCAGACCCCATGGCCTGGGTTGTTCTGCTTCATCCTGTCAATAGACTCCATTATCATACACCTAAGAACAGTGTCCTCAATTTTGTCATTCTATCCTTTTGTGACAACGGTTGCTTGCCGCTTGATGACACTGGCTGTCAGCTGGAGTAAGCCACACACAGGGAGGTATCCCACAAGCTTTCCACACAGGGAAAACACATTTCTTCACATCATTACTGTGGAGACACTTGGTATTATGCTTCCTCTCTTCCATCTGAGCTGACCGTTCTCCTCCCCAGACTTCCACTTCTAACATATGTGCACTGTCTTCCAGCTGCTCTGAATCTTTGCACACAAGACCAAAGTGTACCATTTTCTCTCACACCATTGTAGCAGCCATGATGTTCCTGTCTACATACAGATTATCAATGTAGGCTGCAATTGTGTCGTTTAGTGATTCTTCATGCACCAACACAGCACTGATGATGGATTTCATGATCAAGGGTGCCATGTTGATGCTGAATCCCAACCGTGTCAGACAATATTGTTTACCTTTCATCATTACAGTCTGATATGACCACAACGATTCATGGACATGTATTTGGAAGTAGTCCTTTTGCAAATCGAGCAGGGCATCTGCTGTAAATGCATCATAATCATTCAGCTCATGATCGTTTTAGTCTTAAAAATTGAGAACAAATAAAACATTAAAGTCAATAAACTTAGCTTAGTAAAGCACCTAGTGAGAACTGAACATACAATATTAATAAAACGAGTCACAAGACTAATTTGTTGGTCAATGCTCTCGGACAGGCACAAAGTACAATTGAATCCATTTGAAGTAGCCAACTGAAAATGACTTTTTGCAGTGTAAGGGGAATAACTCCTTACATATCGGAAATTTCTAATTTTTAGCTGATTATAATTTGGTTACTTTTAAGTTTTAGTTATTTACGAAGCTTAGCTTAAGTTTGGCACAAGGTCATAAATATGGAGCACCCAGTGAAAATTAAATTCAAGAGAAAGGATCTGCTAAACCGTTTTGCTAATCTCCTTGGGGATTACTGAGTCCTGTGAAGTTTTAAACCTCCTAAAATTGGAGATTTAGCAGTTCAGCAAGCTTTGACCTTCAAATTAAGGTAGTTGTATTTTCAAATTCTGTTCGTAAAAGTAAAGGTTACTCTCTTTCAGTTGGGTAGAATTGTGAAAGTAAAAAATAATTTAGCTTTTCTTGATGAAGATAGTCAATATTTGAAACATAATGCCTAAATATCTTTCCCAACCATATAACATATTTTAGTGTGAAAGTGAACACAAAATACTAAGCTTATGGATTATATTTTCTGTACTGATAACCATTGTTCAAAGAGATAAGAATCTTTATAAATTATGTTCATAAAAAAATGATTTACTATTTACTAAATGTTAATTTGTTGTATTTGTTTCAGAATTTGTGGCCTGGGCACAGCTAATGGTTGGTTCCTGCGTATAAACACTCGTGTCCACATCGACCAAGTGATTGAAGGTTTTGCTCAGCACTGCGCCTATATGGACCGACTGGAGATTCAATGGGATCCAGATACAATCAGATTCAGTGATAAAAGCAACAAATTTGTTGATCACATTCGGTAAGCACAGTGAAAATTTTTGACACTTTTTTCTTGCTTTTAATAATTCATATCCATCAGCATTTATTTTTAAAATTCAATGTCTAAAATACAAAAAAGTACATTTTAAGAAATATTTTGAATCTCCCTCATGAAAAAAAAAAACTTACATGACATGGCAGGACTCTTATATAAGAGTGTGTGTATCATAAAACTTTTTTCTTTATTCTTGGTGAGTTTGGATGAAATGACTTTATTGCTACATTCATTATCTATTATTTATAATCCAAGTAGATAATTTCATATTGATATCGCAGGATATATGATTTGGATTTTCTTTAATACCAAATCTCACAATAAAAAGCTTGAGAGCCACTCAAGGTAGAGGGTTACAGTCAAAATGGTAATGCTTAATGAAGTGTGATATGAATAGAAGACGAGGTGGTGGGAAGTGTGGATTATGAAGATAAGGAAGAAAGAAGACAATTGATCTTTGACTTGAAGATTGACATCTTCAAGGAAGAACCCATGCAAGGGTCTGTTTCACAAAATGAAGTTTATGAGTTTAAGGAGGATAGATAACAGTTTGACTTCAGATCATAGTGTTCAGGAAAGCACACACATGGGAGTCTGTTCTACAAAATGACAGTTATTAGGGAAAATTAGTGATAACACTAGCTTGGTTTTAAGGTATTGAAAGTTATTTTTCCCATTGAGCTGTTAGAGCTAGATTAGAGGTGAGATCAGCTAATAGACTCCAATTATCTTGGTTTTTGAAAGTAACTTGAATCCATGACTGAAAATTATACACACTTAAGAAAATGTTAAACTTGATTAAATCTCTGGCTGAGTTTCTAGGATGAGGAGTTATCATAAGTTACACTATTTACATTTATTGAACTATTGTCCTCATCTTTGTTGTTGTACTTTGACTCAGTGGAAATGGGGCAAGCAATAACTGAACAGTACTAAAAATAGGAACTAGACAAAATATCCCTAGACATGGACAGTGGAACAGGAACAGTCTACTTCCACAGATTAAATAAAGTGTTCAGCTTAGAATTCCCTGTAGGTTGCCCAGATCAATATGCACCTGATGAAGGTTGGAGGGTGCAACAGTCAAAGATGAGGACAATAGTCCGAGTGTAAATATTGATGAAATCTGATGATTTAGTTTATAGTGTCCATAAGTTGAAACACTGATGAGACTTCAATAGAAGGTATAGAAAAAAAAAAATGATACATTAAATATCTACAAAATAAGCAGTAGAAAAGATTTTTGTTCAAGATAAATTCATTGTGGATGTAGTAGTGATATTTTCTGACTAATTGCCAGTTTAAAAACTTTGAAAACCCACTTAAAGCCTCTAAACGAGAAAAGATTTAGTAATTAATTTGAAGCTCAGATTACAGATATTCACTTGAAAGTAAAACTCTTTCCTTCAGTGAGAGACCAGAAATACTGACAGTATGGTAGGTTCTCTCATATTCAACAATGTATGTTTCTCTTTTTTTATAAAAGGCTTAATATCATGTGTGGCCAGATTTCTACTAAATGTCAAATTAAAGTGAATACTTAAGGGTTTCAAAGTTGTTCACTTAATTTCCCAAATCAGTTTAAAACATTATACAGTAAATTTTACTGCTTTGCTCAAAGATGAGGACAATAGTCCTAGTGTAAATATTGATGAAATATTGATAGTTAATATTACTAGAACAGACTTCTCAAACTGGAGACAGTCCTAGCCAAACTGGGACATGTGGTAAGCCTAACAAGGAAGTTATTCAGTATGTGTGTCTAACAAATTGATTGTTGCAGTTGAAATAACTACTGTATAAAAGACAATGTTGGAATGTGACATTTAGTTCAATTACAATGTCAATCATGCAACCATAGGAATGTATTACATATTTTAACAAATGCAAAGTGCATAATCGTAGCTGAGTAACTTATAAATAGGACATAAGTAGAAATAAATTAATTTCTTTTTAAATTATAATAAAATCAAACTTCTCTGGAACAATATTTGTGTTGCCTAATATTGTTATTGAATGATATGAGAACACACCCTATCAGTGGGGCCTATAATATACTAACTACATCCTATGCAGGGAGGCAAGACCTTCCAAAAAGGTGCCACCTTTTGGGTAGATACATGAAGACTCAAGTACAAACCTGACTAATGTCTAGCTTTTTTTTTACCCTGGTGTAAACCAGACCTGTATCTACTTTTCCATTAATTCATTGTAATTTTATCTTATAAGACTTATATTTGACAATTTAATATATAACCCAACAAGCATTGATATGTCATTCAATTAACTAAGCATTATTAATAATAAAACCAAATCTCCACTTTCCAACATATCAGTGCTATTTAATTTCACCAGCATTTTATTTCTTCTCCTTTTCAGATTGCGATGCCCTCATCTCCGTTCCATCACCCTGAGTGATGGGGAATATTATGAGATGGTCAAGTCCAACTTTGAGCGCGCTGACCGGAAACGGGTGGTCAGGACAACCATCAACTACAGCACAAGCATTGTCAGTTTGCTGACCCATTACAATGACCTGTTGTTCAATTAGGGACGATATGTTCTCTTCATCCTTAATATCCTGTGTGTGCCAATACTGAACACCTGAAGACTAGAACAGGGTCAAGTAAATCCCCCCCACCCCCATTGTTTTCCTCTCCTCCTTCCATCTTCTACAACCTGTCCCCCCTCAAGACCATTTTCCTAATGGGATGACATCTTGGCAGATGTAATAGTACTACTAATATCTTTCGGGTTTTCTCCTTTTGGATTCCACAGTCAAATGGTTCAGTTATCTATTTACTATATTTGACTAATTGAAGAAAGAACAAAGATATTAATGTGAATAAGATAACCCATAGAACTTACTCAATTCAATTGGAGTTGGGAATAATAGGGCTTTGCATTGAAGACATTATTCTTTCCTTTTCTCACAAGTCTTTAGGCATATAAGACAATGCAGTTAATAATCAAGGAGATTTTATTTTCTTAAGGGTAAAATATCAATATACCCTGTTTAACATAAAATGTATTTGGTACTTTGACTAGGTGAAATTCTCAGTTCTGCTGACAAAAATTCTTCCAAATTTCACACTTGAGAAATAAACTTGAGAGATAAATAACGATGTCAATTTGAATGAAAGACGAGGCTTTAAGTTTTGCATATAAAAGAAATTTTCTTATTATATGATTAGGTTTCTAGTCAAAACGTCTTAAGGAGGATTTTTAAAAACTAAGTTTCTCTTCTAGGTTAAATGCTATTAGCCTCATTGTTAGTGATTATTCTCAAACTCAGAGAACCAAAGACACCAATCAGGGATTAACAAGTTTCTTTCTTTGAACTTTTAGGCATGTCTTTATTTACTTTATGAGGCTTATTAATTAAATCAATGAAAATATTACCTATTACAGAGAAATATATAATTACCGATTTAAATATACATGTCCATACACTATATTTGTTCATATACTGTTATTGAGGTGTGGGTGGTATAGTAGTTACCAGAATGGAAATTGGAATCATCAAAATGATATAAAATCTTAGTCAAAGCTACTCATGGTCATTTGTACAATTGCCCTCATGAAAGGCATGAATCTACTTCTCTTGGAACTCCTTTCTGACATGCCACAAAGGTTGATAGAAAAGGGAGTGGAGGAGTGATTACTTGTGAAAGCCAATTTCCCTGATTACTTCCTTAATGAAAGCCATTATCCACCACGGTACATCTTGACAAGAGTTAACAATAATTGTGTTACTGACATTTTTATTAATAGAAGTGAATATTTTAAACACTAAAAGCATAGCACAGTAAGTACATCATTCCAAACATTGTGTTGTTTTGTTACTACAATGTATAACCTTTCTTTTTATATATTGATTATACAACTGAAGAAGGCTGTAGAATGAATCAGCTGAAACATTGTGACAACAATACACAGGAGGAGTTGACTAAAGAAAGCTTGGAATGTTAATGTCAAAGTTATAGACAGTAAGAATAACACTTCTTAATTTAGGATAATGGTTGAAACTAGAGTTGAAACAAAATTTGATAATTCCTTACACTAACCAATTAGTTATTTTATATTTCTATAGTAAAATGTATAATTTCTAAGGAGTATACACAACCATTCAGAAACCTAATATTTTTAAAAATACTAGTTTGCAAAAATAATTTCTGTAGATGTAGTCTATTATTATTATTTGATGAAAATTGATTAACTTTTAAAACTGAATATTCAGTGCATTTAAAAATCAAAACTTTAAAACATTTTTGTGCAAAGCAGTAACAGCACTAATTATAATTTGGTGAATTTAAAAATGTTTCCCAACATTAGATGGTTGTGTTTTCTACTGACACGTTTTGGCCAATGAACAAAGTATCATTGGCCTTGGTAGAAATTCTGAGCTGAGTTGAAAGGTGAGATTCATTGACCCAATGTTATAATCAGAGATATTTATTACAAATAACCAAAAAGTTGAATGAATAAATGAAAACATTCATTACCATGTTTCAATAAAAAATGAAATCCATCTCTCACAATTCATAACTTGGCTTTTTTCAGAAAAAATCTTTAGGCTGGGGTCTAAATACAACATTGTTGTTGCTTTTGACTGAATTATCAATTTTTTTTTTTTAAACTATAAGCAAAAAAGAAAAAGACCAAAAAAAGCTGAAAAACAGAAAATTTTAGAAAAAAAACAAAAAAACTTTTCTTGTTCATTAATAAAAACAAGAAAAACAAAAACACAATAATTCTGTAACAACTTAGCAAGGGAACAAACTCATATAAATAGTTGTTTTCCTTGAACAGTTTAAACAGATGGACATCATCCTTAGGAACTTTTGCCCAACAACAAGAAGGGGAAAGAGGGAGGTTGTGGAATTGTGTGTTAAGGGTGTCTTGATGTTTATATATTCCATAAATTATCTCCATATTCTTCAAAGTGAGAGACCTTGCTCCTTTTTAAAAACTTAAATTGTCATCATGCCAAAGATGTTTTCAGAGAATGTCTTTTTTATGTACAGTTTGAGTTTCATTGTTGGAATGTTGCTCACTCCCCAGATATTTGTTTCAAAGTTCATATCTACTTTGTGGACATGAAGGATTTTTTTTTTTTTTTTTTACCTTGTTTATTTATTTTGAAAAGTTATCTTTATGATATAAGGTTTGTTATTGTATTTGTTGTAGCCATTTCCAATTGAGGAAAACAAGCTTGCTTATGTATTTTGGTATAATCAAAATTAAGGAGTAAAGTCTTAATTCTAGAGAATTAAGGGGTTGGGGAAGAAATAAATTTATGTCTGAGGTGTCATTGCTGGAAATATCAAAACATTTTATCTCATGATTTTGGATTATATTTTGCAGTTCATTCAAAATCTTTGTACAAATATTTCTAACATTTAATTTGTTAAACTTAATACAGACAAACTACCATCAGGGAATCATTTTCCAGTATATTAGGTGCCTCAGTTTTGGGGAGAGTCAATTTTTGGTGATCAAAAGTCATTCAAACAGAAAGTGACTGGCATATTTTAATAAGTTCAATGACCGAGTACAAAAGCAGAAATAAATTTCTTTAAAATTATTTGCAATATCATGTTGATTATCTTTAATTTTCAAATGAAGATTTTTTTTTTTTTTAATTTAGTTTGATTGTGGGTTTTAATTATCTGATGCGTGTTTCTTAGTTTCATGACTATTTTTTTTTTTTGAGATTTGATTGAAAGGAATATCCTTATCTTAGTATATCCCTTTTTATTATTTCCGGTAAATATATCCCTTATAATGGATCCAAGAAACTTGGGATATATCAATAAGGATGTTAATGGCTATGAGAAAAGGATGAAGATCTTAATCTCAGTCAAGATGTTAATACCTGTGATGTATCACGCAAATATCACAAAAGAAGTGGTTCCATTTGGAGATTAGACAACAAAAACAGATTGTGTCTGGAAAAAGATATTGAGAAAATTGGCAGATATAGATCTGAATACTTTCTCTTCTGCATAAATATTTAAATATTTTGCTTTGAAAATTGGAATTTATATTTATAAAAAATGAAAAACAAAATCCAGACCATTTTTTCTGTTGTGGGCTTCTTCAACAAGGCTGTATATGAAAAAGAAAAAACTGTTGCTTTTTTTTTTTTGGCCTATTTTATTAAAATTCTTACTTTCTCCTAAAATCACATGGGGTTAAGGCCTCTTCTGATATGCAAAGAAATCTAGGATTTGTTGAAGAAGCTCAACTTTTGGGACCACATCTTTTACCAGAATTCTTTCTGGCTTTTGCAGTAAAGAGTGTTTCATGCAATTAAGACTAAAATTCTGACAGAGAATTGAAATTTGACAGCGGCCCCTCTTTAATATAGAGAATTTAAATTTTGCTCAATGTTTCTCTCTCTACATTTCAAGAAATCAAGGAAAGAATCTTTGAAATTTTCTTAAGAATAAACAATTTTAAAATCTATTTTTTAATATAAAAAGATATTTTCTTTCCTGAAATTTGTTTAAATTATATAATATTCATTCCTACTATTGATAAACAGATTTTTTTTAAAAAAGAAAAAAAGAAAAAAAAAAAAAAATGTTTCGCATCATAGGATTTGCTATTTTATACATATTTAAGTCCTTCAAACTAAACATTTAATGCACAGTTTGTATGTGAACCTAAGGCCCCGCATGATTTGGCAAACTCTACCCAGCCACAGTCTAAGGTTGGCACTAGAAATATTTTTCTTTTAATTTCAGGGATGGTAAAAAAGGAAACAAAACAAAAAAAAAAAAAATTTTTCATTCAACTGAAGATTGTTTTATTTCGTTAATAAGTTATTAAAACACTTCCCTTTCATCTTTTAATGGATAAATAAAAAAAAATTTAAAAAAAAAAAAAAAAAAAATTCAGACCCCCCAAATGAGTGGTGTGTTTTGATTAATTTTTCAGAATACCAGCAAAAAAATACAATAAAATAAATCTCAACAAAGTTGAATATTTGCATGAAATATTTCTCTTAAAGAATTTGAGAATCCTTCAAGGAATTGCATACAATTAGTAATATTATTTAATTCAAGCTTTTGAAAGTTGTGATTATCATGGAATCATATGGGAAATGTTGAAATATCAAAAACTAAAATACAAATTTGTTTAAAACAAAAAAAAAAAAAAAAAAAAAAATAGCTAATGTAATTTTATAGATTTTTCTCTTCATCTGTGAATAGTAAACTAATCCACCCTCCCACAAAATACACACACACGTGTGTGTGTGCGTGTGTATAAGGCTGGGTGTTTAGCTCATTTCATATAGATGTTGCTTTAACCAGATGTTTTGATGGAGGGTTAAGAAATTTGTGATGGTATTCCTCCATTTTCTTCCGGTGTAGGATTCCCCCCCCCAGTACAAAATGTCAGTCAAGTTCAAGCGATAGTTCTTTTGACTGGTTAAAGTTAAAGTCAGCTTTTTCTTTTATATAAATAGTAATCAGAAAGAGTCATTTCTTATGATAGATATCTTGACAGTCATTTATATTAACAGAATATGCTGTCACTAAA